CGATATAGCATTAGACCTACAGAAATAATTTAAATACAATATTGTATCTTAAATTTACAACACTATTCGTGTATATGTATATATGAAATTTAGAACTTCTCTGACAATATGATTTCTTTTAAAGTAATATAAACAATAAAAAATCAAACAGAATCTAAAAAGAAAAAGAACAGGTGAAGTTATATGATGACAAGAAACATATTATGTGCACACAAAGAAAGGTAGACTATATATATACAAAACGTTTTTATTTTTTCTATTCAGTATTAAATTGGTAGTCATTATTTGTAATTTAATACGTTAAGAAAAGGAATAATGTCGAATGGGTTAGTGTTGGCGGTCGAACTATTTTTGTTTTGTTTTTTTGTTAAATTATAAGAAAAATAACACTGAATGGACATAAAATTATGATATTCATGAATATTTTTTTTACTTAACAATATTCTATATTAAACTAGTAAGTTATTTTTGTACAGGGTATATTTAGTAATATGAGATCTACATGACGATGAAAATATTAGAATACTAATATAAAGAATTAAAATATGAGTGAATGCATTTCTATTAAGGTAGGTGATATTGTATAGAAGTTTTGATATTGTACAGAAAATTATAAACACCTTATGTATGTGTGTATGAAAACTGGTAAAATGATGATGATTTTAATATACGCGGCTCATAGTTATGCTCTGATTAAGTTTTTTTTTTTTGTTTCGTATATATTGTTTCTTTTTTAGTTTAATTTTATTATAACTGTAATTTGAAAAAAAAAAGGTTTTAGGCAATATCTTATTTCATTATATACTTTTGTATTGTAATAATAGCAAAGTTGAGGAAATTTTAAGATTTCTAGTATTTTTACTGCCTTTACATATACTTTTAAGATTTTGAAATGAGGATTCCTTTGTGTAATATAAAATAAATGTTTATATAATTTTGTAATTTAATATAATATTTTATTTATTACACATTTCTGCACATTATAAGTTAAAGGCAATATATTACAGCTATACATAAACTTTGGGGGCAAAAAAATTAACTAACTGAAATTTAAAGTCTATATTTATGTAGTTTATTTTTTTTTTAATGCAATTGGAAAAATTCATGTCCTATATATTTTTCGGTGATGTTTTAAAATTTTTTCTCGATGACAGTTTTTCATTGTTTATATGTGAAAGTTTATGTGGAATTTTGGACGTCTATAAGCATAAAGCTGTTATTTATTATGTTACCCATGTTTGTTCCAAAGTTTTTAAAGATTTTTAAGACTTTAGTGAAGCCTTAACCGCTGCGTTTATCCGAGGCGAGTTATAATTTTCCATGACATTTGTAGTTTCACTAGGTGAGTTGTCAGCACGACGCTAGCTAGACTATAAATTTATATTCCCCACACTCAAATTAATCTAGTTATACCTCTAGATGCTGGATCGCCAGAGCTTTTTCTGCAAAAACAGAAGGTACCACGGATAGACGAGGATTACATTCGGGTGGGAGGTTATGTATATACTAGTATAACTAATAAGATATTTATTTAAACTCATAATAACTATGTCTACCCTCATTTTTTAATACAACATAATAATTTCTAATGATTATTTTCTATAAATTACAATTTATTAAATAATTATGAATTATAAAATTAATTTAGTGTGTGAATTTTTTCTTTATCACCTTTGTATATTTTCATGAAATTTCAATATTATTTTTAGTTTAATAAAACGAAATTTACATTTCATTTGAAATAAATGAAACATATGATAAAATATAAAAAAAAATGACATCATTTTTTTAATGTAGGCTGATAATAAAATGATTCAATGAAAATTAAATGAAAAGATTTGAAAAATTATTAAGAATTTTTTGTTTTAAAATTTTTATTAAATTTTTATTTCATTCTATACACTTACATTATATGAATTGTATAGGATGTACTCATATACAAATGTGCAAATGCATGACACAGTGTCGCAAAACGAAAATTAATAGCATTTAAGTTTTCGTCATCTAACAAAATTTTCAAAAAATTTTTACAATTCTTATTATTTTTTCTGAAAATTTAAGAAAAAATTGTAAAACCATAATGAGAATTGTAAAAATTAAAATTAATTTCTTCAAGGTATTCTAATATTTTAATACAAATGCGGCCTTTCTTTAAATGTATTAGTAAAATTTTATAAAATCGCACTGACATTAATATTTTGTAATTGGTTGACATTTTTAGAAGTTTTAATTTCTTGAATTCCGCTATAACATAGATAGCAAATATTCGAATATATTTTGAATAATGAACATTTATTTAAGAAAGAAAACCAACACCGATTCCGATTTTGTAACCCTAAATAACTCATGGAACCTAAATTGTTCTACAATCCTAAATAATATCAACGAAAACTCTTACTTCCTTGTAAATATTTTTGTAACTTTACAATTTAAAAATGAAAATAGATTTAATATCATCAAGTAGCAATCACATTTCTGTTTTCCGAATAAAAAACTTTATATGAAATATTATGAAATATAGAATATTTTTCAACGTTAATAAATTTAATTTGTATATAGAGGTCATGGTCCATTTTAAATCAAAAAAACTAAAATATTTTTTAACTTATATTGTGAATCGATAATAAAAATTCAATACCATTTCCATTAAATCTACGCGATTATAGAGAGAACTTTATTGATATTCTTCCGCAAACATAATGATGAACTACTCAATTAAAACAAATTAAAATTAGATAAAAATTGTAATAAAAATGAAACCATAATAAAAATTGCTAAATTTTATTTTGACCATTTTGTATAGTGTACGAAGCAGACACTATTAAGTAGCAATAAAATTCTATAAAAGTATCAACACAATATTGAAGAACTGAAGGAAATGAACTCTGAACAGAAAGCTAGATACTACAAAAGCTTCTAGGAATAAAAAGTGTAATAAAACAAAATAAAAATTAACATATAAGATAGGGAAAGAAACACTTACGTTCCGTTTTCTTTGATGTTACAAATCGTTTTAATTAAATTCTGATTGATTTTTGTTTTGCTTCTGGAAGTGAACTTCAAATAAATTGTATCGAATTTTTAAAAATCCACTCTTTGTTTATTAAGATACAATTGTAGATTTTCATATGCATAATTGATAAGTGTTTTTGGTGAATGAAAAAAATAACAATATATGAATGTATGTTCCTAGAATATGTATTTGTTTTCTTTATATAATTTAAATAATGCCGCTCGAATAAGATTTTAAAATATTTAGTTGATTGTTTCAATTTGTATTTTGTATTTTAAAATTCCATAGGAAAGTAAGTATAGGTACCTACAGCTAAAAAAAATTTACATTTTAACGGAATGAGATTTGAAAATATGTATACAATTTGACAAATTAAAATTAGCCTAAATTCTCGAATTGGAAAAGTGTCAATAATTAATGCGATTAAATCACTTACATAATATAACTAATTAATAATACATTTCTTATATTGGAGATGGGAGACACCACCCGATCTGGGCAGCAAGTAGTCCGGAATTTTGGTTTTTGTAATAAAGAGCACAAGCTACGTCTTTGCTTGATTAACTCCTAGTCCACTTTCCAAGAACTCACCTCGGCCAGCGACACCGCCAAAACACGGTTGATCGTTGGAAGATCGAAGTAAGAAACCAGAATAGCAAGATCATCTTCATATACCGCTTTGACACATCTCACACCGGCTTTCACTAGGATCTCACTCATGACCATTAGCCATAGCAGTGGAGGGAGAAACTTCCAACCTCCCTCTCTCCCTGAGGCATTCCTCCGTCGGTGTACTTAATCACTCTGCTGCCAGCCTGTTTCGACAAAAGATTCTAGACTACAGCATCGACGCTATCCTTCAGTCCACTGTTGGGGGCTCTCTTCATACCTAGAAAACCGCCAAAATGTACTGTTATTATTGAATGAAATGTTCAACAATCCGAACGAACTTATGTAGGACGTTGTTAGTACCCTGTCCACCCGATACGTGTGTTGGGACTCTGAGTCCACGCGTAGCAAAACCATTAGTACAAACCACATTTCCACAAAACTCCCTCCAACGGTAGCTTTTAAATTTCCTCAGCGACTCCTCGTATGGTTGCCATGACCTCATCCTGTGGCAGTCATTAAAAACATCACCCGCCATATTAATCTTCTTAGCTGTCTCTTAGACTATTTTAGAGGGCAGGAGGCTCTAAAGTCCAAATCCTGAAATCTCAAAGCCCTTGTCTTGGGACTCTTACTCTTCGACATCGTAAATATTGTTTTTCATATTAGGCATGATCGTGGGCTTGTCCCACATAATGATCCTTTATTTAACCCCATTCGTTCTTCTTGGGCTCTTATATTGTAAGGGAGATTTAGCCTAGAACTTCTTGAAAAGGACCTTTTATCGTACGCTCTCTAAACTAAATAATTGTTTGGTTTAAATGTTATATCTAGGAAATCTTCCCAGTTATCAAAACTGTTTGTGCCATTTGCTATTTCTAAACTAATGTTTAAGATAAAATCATACAAGGACACCTCTTTCATTGGTCATCATAACCAACAATCTGACTTGAGCGCTTGCCTGTGACCAGGTTCCCGTGGTGGTGCTGGTTTATCATGGACCATATAAGTCGAGCACTTGAATAAAATCCTGCTGTTTTTTTCCTCCAGCTTTACTACCGTCAAATTCTCGATGATGAAATTAAATCAAAAAATTGATTTAATGTGTCTTAACTAACACGCAGGTAGGCTTACCTGTCTCTCGTTCTATTAGCTTGTAGAAGAAATTATATTTCCGGATACTAAGTCCTTTTGGATAACCTATTAGGGTGAACCCATTTCTCTTGAATAAAACGATGTCGGCGTTTTCATCATCTAGGAAGATTATGAGGTTATCTGAAGCGCATTTCAAGTGTTTCAGATTAACCTGGATTACCCTCGTTTTCGACATCAACTCTCATAGCTGCTCCCATCAAGCAGCTGGCTTGTCTCCTCAACAATGTATCCTTCTGGATCTTATGCCAAACCTTATCCGGCTCTCATTCTTTCCCAGAGCATCTACACTTTCCTCGTTTATAAGGAGTGAGAAGGATTTGTTATACTTCTGCGGTTCCTCTTTCTTGATGACCCAGTCATTAATCGGAACTTTGGTTAAAAATTTTCTAGTAACCAAACATCTTATTCAAATAGCACTTTTATTTAAAATATTTCTCACACTTGCCTTTTCTCTTGAAATTTCAAAATCATGTTAGAAAAAAAAAATCTAATTTAAATAGCTTTTGAAAATTTATCAAAAATATTACATACTATTAATAATTTACAAATTGAAATAACATAAAAAATAAAACTTCTCTTCTCATTTAATAATTATAATAAATTCTAAAAATAAAATGAACAAAATTAATAATTATTATGAAACTGAAACCAGAATTTGGTGTGATGGTTGTTATGATTTAGTTCATTTTGGTCATGCGAACTCATTTCGTCAAGCTAAATTATTAGCAAATAAATTAATAGTTGGTGTTCATTCTGACAATGAAGTCTTAAAACATAAGCGATTACCAATTTATACAGAAGAAGAACGTTATAAATTAATTAAAGGCATTAAATGGGTCGATGAAGTAGTAGAAGATTCACCGTACGTTACGACAATAGATGTTTTAGATAAATATAATTGTTATTATTGTGCTCATGGAAATGATATAACAGCTACATTCGATGGTATTGATACATATAAAATAATAAAAGAAACTAATCGATATAAAGAATTGAAGAGGACACCAGGCATTTCAACAACTGCCATTATTAACAGAATTTTGGAAAAATATCAAGAAAAGAATAAATCAACAATCACTTTAGAAAATAATGGAATTTTATTTGAAGAAGAAACCAATAATAAACATAGCAAGTGGACTGGCATTAATGATCCATTTTTAATGACAACATCCAAAATATTTGAATTTATGAATAATGAATATCGAACACCGAAATCAAATGACAAAATTATTTATGCACCTGGTTCTTATGATTTATTTCATATAGGACATTTAGATTTTTTAGAGAATTGTAAAAATGAAAGTGATTATTTAATAGTCGGTTTATATACTGATGAAATAATTAAAAAAATCAAAAATTCACAATATCCAATAATGAATTTACAAGAACGCATATTCAATGTTTTGTCATATAAGTGTGTTGATGAAGTTATAATCGGGGCACCATATATAATTTCAGAAGATTTTATAAATCAAATTAAAATCGATACTATATATCATGGTGGTAATAATAAACGTTTATATCAGACGAATAATTTAGATCCTTTTAAATATTGCAAAAAATTGGGAAAATTTAAACAATTAGATTTATATAATAAAGTTAATACTGAAGAAATTATTCAAAGAATTATTAAAAATGGCGACCAATATAAGAAACAAATTAAAGTTAAAGAAGAGAAAGAAATTGAAGCATATCAAATAGTGACAATTTAGAAGATAAATACTTTGAATATGAATTACAATAATTATAAAATAATAAATTTTCAATTTTTTATTTTATATAACAATTACGCTTTATATACAAAAAATATTTGTAAAATTTTATTTCTATTTTTATTTTTGATGTACATTTAATGCTATAGGTAACTAATAATATTTTTTAAAAGTTTTGGCTTATATAATTTAATATATATAGCAACAAATAAAATTTCTTTTAAAAATTTTAATTACTTTTATTATAAAAAGTAATTCTAAAATCAAGTTTTTTGTCTCTGAAAGGTTTTACAATTCTATACAATTCATTCCAATATACTATGATTTCCAAATTTATCAATCATTGGTAGTAGTATTGGATCGCACCTTCTAAAATTCGAAAAGCACCTTCAAAAAATGTGCCATTTTGGAAAAGCATATGACTTTGTGTTTCGAACATTGTTAACTCCGAAATTTCTGTCAAATAACTTTAATATTTTACATACTTACAAAATTATTAATATTAATTATGTGAAAATAATAAAATATAATAATAAATAAATAAAATATTAATAATAAATATTCACTTTAAGAATAAAATCGACCTTTCTTAATGTTGTATCTCTTGTAAAATTAATTGTATGAACAAAATTGGGCTATCATATGGTCCGAAATATTGCAAAAGAATTTGTAAATGAGGGAGAAATAAATTATTATTGATTTATGCTAGTGATGCCTAAGAATGTATATGCGTTACTGCGTGTATGTGCACTTCGTTTAATATACACACGACCATATACATATGTATGTATGTATGTAAATATAAATAAACTGTTAAAATTTATTTCAAAACAAAAATCTTCCTATATAAACAACGTTCTTTAAATTTCAATATATTATGTTCATAAATACATCGTATTTTACTCAATAATTTTAATTTACTCTATAGTAATTCTTACTTTAATTTCTTACTCTATAGTATCTATACTCTATCGCATTTAATTATATTTCTTACTCTATAGTATCTATACTCTATCGTATTTAATTATATGAAAAGCAAAAATTTTCATATACAAAGCAAAAATTCAGGTGTACATATATATATATACACATATTAAATTCTACTTTCTCAAAATTTTAAAAACTATAAATTTCTGTTTATAAATTCCTTCCTCTCACATATACTATATGATATACATAATACATATGTTATGAAGCTAATCATATTTATATACATGTATGTAGCTCATTTCCTTTTCAATAATGATATATGAAGAAAAAAGAACCATACATTTTAAGTCATTTAACATTGAAATAGAACCAGCTTTTTCATATGGCACGATTAAATAAGGAATTTTCCTGAAATTTCAATCTCAAATGCTTTCCAAGTATCGACTCATTCCCTCTTTATATGTGCTCACGTATATAGAGTTGACATTTGCGTAAAAATGTAAGTAAAAGCCCAATGTTCTCTGACAATATTCAGATTTTATATGGCATTCATAATAATTATAGAATGAAATTATTTTTGCATACTTTTAGGAGAAGAAGAAAAGTAAAAAGGTAAAATAAAAATATCGAATTCGATAGACAATTATGTGAGCTAAGATTGAGATAATATTAAGATATCTTTGGATAACAGGATACCTATTTAGCGTTAATTTTTTGCTTTAACAGAAATTTTAGAAAAGTATACAGTTTGGAATAATAAGAAGTCGAAAGTTCAAACATTGTTAATTTCGAAATAATATTGAAATGAGGCGATTGAGTTAGAAAAAAATGTTGTTGAGTAAAATAAACAATTTTTTAATTATTACAAATTTTGCAAATTTCAGGCGTCCGTATTTTTTCGCCTAAGAGTAAGTCGATTTCAAAAATTTCCGCAAAGAAACGAGTTTCAGATCACAAAAATTTTGTGAAAACATATGCGTACAACGTATTTTTGCAATCAAAAAATTCCTAAAAAAAATGTTCTAATACTAAAAAATCTGTTATTCATATTAGAATTAAATAAATTTGGAATGTAACAATTTTTAAAATTAAGCATATGCTGAAACAATATTTGTACAAAAAGGAATTGATTAATTTCTAAATAAAAAGCACATTTCCTTAAAATTTCTCTAATAATATAGAGGAAGAACTCACATTTAATAAGTCTTACGAATAAAACATTAATTATTATTTTCCTCAATTTCCAATTTCAAATGGTAATTAAATTATGAAAAGTTTAGAAAGTAAAGCTCATAACTTACAACAATTTGGTCGTAGTAAATAGTTCGTCAAACTTAAATTCAGACTTTTCACAAATTTCTTTAAAATTTTTTCTTTTGTATATTTTTCAACTGAAAATTTTCTTTTGAACTGATGAATTATGTAGCAATTTTTGGAAGTGTATTACAATAACTAAGTAAATATAAAACAAGATAAAATTTTTAAAAATGAAAAAATAAAATATTTCTTATGCCTCCAATATGCGAGCCCTCTTCTTCTCTATGATGCAATTCTATTTTCGAAGAATTTTTATTTTAATTTTTCCTCTTTTTCAAAAAAAAAATTAACCTGCCTCAAATCTTACATATTATAAGATTGGAATGTAATAAGTTTTTCCAAAACATTTTTTTTTTAGAAATTTTTTCTGGGTTAAATTTGTTAAAAAGAGAAAAAAAATTTTAAGAAAAATTGGGAAAGCAGCTTTTTATTTTTTTTTTCTGTTGATTGTGATGTAGAGAAATATGAAAAATAATGATCATGAAATGTGTAGGAAAATTGATCGGTCAAATGTCAGAGCTGATTTAATTGAAAATGCGTTTTGCTTCTTTCTTATGAATTTATGTACAGGACAATCTCTGCTACTTTTTCATTGTCTTTTCATGTAAAATTATTTGAGTTTAAAAATATATTGCAAAATATAATATTAGTTATGGGAATAACATTGAAACTACTGTAAAGTCAGGACGACTAGTTCGGTACTCATCAGCCCGATAAGAAAAAAAATTAAAATTTAAAAATAAAATTCTCAGCTTTTAATCTTAAACTTGGGTAGATATGAGTTTGTAATATTGCCTTATGTGGATTGCCCAGTACGTTTTTTTATTTTTTTTTTCTATAATTCTCTATGGAGTTAATAAAAGGATTGCCCACAATAATTGTTCTAAAATTGTGAAATTTTTTATATGACGTCAAAAATTCCGAAACATTTTATTTTTATAAAGTTTTTTATAAAATTTTTAATAAAAGTAATTTATTAAAATCGTTTTTAAAAATTTCGTAATTTGTTTTTTATAGTAAGAGAAGTAAAAAATAAAACAAATTAGGTTTTATTATAACAATCTCTTCCTTTATAATAAGAATTAAGAATTATGAAAAATAAACACATCTAACATAGGTTTATAGTTCAACAAACTATTTTAATTAGCCTAACATAAAAATTTTTTTTACTTTTGCAAATAGTGTTATTGATTTAACAGTATAGGTCTACTCTTTTTTTCCAATAGCATCGTAATATTCTAATAAGTTCGTGCAATATAAACAGAATGTGAGCATTTTTTCAACGTTTCACGAAAATCATTATTAACGTATGTAGCCATCCTTTTTCTTTAAAATATAAAGATTGCTTCTTTAATCCAGTTCGCAGTAATCGCATTTTTTCTGAAGAATACTAAAATTATATTAAAGAAATTGAATTGAATTTTGTTGAATTGAGTTTTATTCTCTTTCTATTTAAATTATTTTAGTTTCAATCACAACTTCTTATTTATTTCATTAAAATAACTTCACATTAACGTCGCTGATAACATTATAACAAAAAGTTACCTTGACGATAGCAAACATTACAATACAATAAGCACTACCTTTCCATAAATCATTACTTACATGATTCCAAGCACTTCTTTTCTGTGAATTTGTACGTCTCTACTAAGAATAAACTATTGAGAATAAAATATTTGAAAATTTCGCATTATTATTATAATCTTAGCCTTGCATTTCTTTTTATTCACAATAATCATTAATTTTAATTTTCTTTTCTAATATTTTGAATCTATTCATATTACATTTTGTTACAATTAAAACACACAAAAGTGAACGCAAAATAACAAGTCAAATAAAGAAAATTATATGGGACATTTTAACTACATAATAATACAAGTAAGCAAGTATAATATGCATGTGATCAATTCAACCTAATAAACCTGTTCTCAAAGGTCATCCCACACCAAATCTACATAACCTTATTTAATTGTTAACTATTGCCATATTTGTATAGTGAAATAAAAGAAAAAGAAACAGTTTCATTAATCGATTAAAACAAACCTAATCCATATTTGTACTTCCCATTTTTTGTTTTAGTTTTTTTTATTTTACATAATTTTCTTTTATTGCTTTTGCGCGATTCGCATATATTTTCATATTATGCATAAATTTTCTTAAAGCCACGGTGAAAAACTTTCTTTTAAAACCGCTCTTTTTGTCGCTCTTTATTCTTTTTTCTTTTCGTTTTTTACTCTCCATACTTAATTTTAAATTCTGTTTCATTTTTTTTCTGATTTTTTTTTTGTTATATTCACTTTACCTACATTGAGACTAATTAGAGTCACTTTAAATAAATTTTTCAATGCTAATTAGTTTTGATGGGAGAGCACTAAACGAAACATGATTGTATGCATGCTACTGTTCCCATCTATATGTAGAATTCGATTTAATGTATAGAAGAGTAAAATAATGAAGAGACAGCATTCAACATTTTATTTTTTGAATTTTCTTTAACTTCTTAAAATATATTGGGTATTACTGCTTATATATTGCAATGTGGTC